TGTATTTTTTATTTCCCATTTAGTCAGTCATACACRTAGTAYTTTTCAGTGGTCATAAGAATGTGTTAAAATGCTGTTTCTATGCATGAAATACCACGTAGAGCTCAGTTWTTTWTKTTTTTTGTTAGCAGTGCTCAGCTGTAGCAATGAGCAGGGAACATGACGTTTGGTCAAAGTTTATTACAAATGGCGCTTTGAGGGCCACCATAACGCTCATGTGGCCCTCAGTGAAAATGAGATTGACACCTCTGATTTAGAGCATCTGTTGGGAATGATGTTTAGGTACTACTGGCCCTAAATGTTAGCTCAGTGCCTATAACATTTACAGAGTTATAACCAATTTAGTTAACCAAGATCATTTTTTTATTTCAGTAAGCAAACTTGCATAAAAGATTCAGCAACATTTTTTTTATGCCCGATGCCTTTCCTGAGACAACCTGCAGCCTCAGGATTATAAGACTGTGACCACCGAGCCACCGCAGCTTCGGGTGTGCATATGAGGACTAATAAAACACGGTGATCATTTCAAATAGTTGTCACAAACACACTAATTTATACTCCGCCAGCAGAATGTTGAATTTCACATAAAATTCACTGATGTAACACATACCCATGAGGTTGCAGGCAGATGTGGAATGGTTTATTTCTGCTTTAAAACAATTCTTGATAAATAATACGTACGTTCATGTTCTCAGGAGTGCTGCAGTAGCTCGGTGCAGCTGTCATTAAGTCCAGCACTATCAGGCACTTCCTCCACCTGCTAGTGGTAGATGCCGTGCAGGGACTTTCCATCTTACTTCCTCGTGTTTCTCCTCCACATTGGGTTTCTGCAACTTATTTAGTGTATAGTTCTCAGGGTGCTGGACTCGGGSTGAAGCCTCCATCATTGTGAGGAGCTTTCTTGTCTTGATATCAGTGGCTTCTATCTGTTGGCCAGGCCAGGCAACTGATGACTGATGATGTTTTGATGATTTGGACTTTGTTCTTACGGTTACTCTGGATCATCAGAACCCGCCTTAGACTTTGTAGTCATGTGGTTGTGGTTGACTTTGGTACAGCCTCTTCATGGTTCCTGTCTACCCACAGAAACCCAAGGTATCTTAAACTCTTAAACATTTGAAATGTTGCCTTCTTGTAGTTTGACATTTTTGAACATCTTGCTGAATTACCATTCAAAAAAAATGCAGTTTTATGCTTGTTTAAATGTATGTAATCTGGATTTTTTATTTATGCAATTTATAAAACATGAAAAAAATGTATCTTAGCAATGTATTGCAAATAACAAACATTCAAAAAGTCACTTTGTTTTTTTTTTTCTTTAGTGTGCAGACAACACTGTTCATGCTTTAAGTTTATTAAAGTTTGTTGTTGATTATTAATAATGATAGTAGGTTAGTTGAGTGTCTTAGCAAAGGGAAGTCCAGTTTTTATGAAAGAAATACCGTAGTCAAGTTGAAGGACTGAACTGTAAATAAAAAAATGCAGTTAATGGTTTTTTTTTWAAAAAGATTTCCAGAAAGTCTGGAAATCATCTTGCTCTTTGGAAGAGAAACATCTTTATTCACTTTGTTTTGTTTAAGAACAGAGCTTACTTTCTTAACAATAATGACAAATTTAGTTATCCCTTTTTCTCATTTTTGGACAAAAATTACTGAACTTAAATAATTTTGTATAACTGACCAATCAGAGAGTAAAGGAATCATAAAGGTAAACGTGTTTATTAAATCTTGCTTTGGTAAGCAGTGCACATATCTGCTGTCTGTTGTTTTATGGCTCAGTCAGTCAGTCAGACGGACAGCTTCCTCTCTGACACGAAGAGGCAGTTAGCTCTGCCCCTCAAGGTCTGACGGGCCAGGTTTGATCTCATCACAGATCAAATGTTACTGCATTAAATGTTTCCTTACCAGAAAACCACCGGGTCGATTTGCTTAGGAAAATCCTGCAGAAGGAAAAAATAAGAGTTACAAAACTGTGGAAACGTCCAGAAGAAAGCCTCTTTGTGCTTCACAAGCGAGGCACGATGGAAAACGGCGTGTCGTCATTTGGATCTAGTAGGATTGAACAAAGTCAGCTAATATTTGTCCCGGGCTTTGAGTGACAGTTTTGCTCACCTCTTGAATGTGATGGCTCTTTCACTTTTCCACTTCTGCTGCTTTGTTTTTTTGAGACAAAGTTCAACCCTKAATTCTGAGTGAATTTTGTGACTTCATTACGCTTCTTATTGCATACCACATTTTTTATGCAAGTGTTGAATGTAGTTCCCCAGCAGGCATGTTTAGTCACACACTCTCTCTCTCTCTCTCTCTCTCTCTCTCTCTCTCTCTCTCTCTCTCTCTCTCAGTTGGCGCCCCACCATTGCAAAGTCAAGGCATTGCAAACATGGAACGAAAGCTATGGAGTGATACTGATACCCCCAAAGGTGTGCAGCCCCATTGCCAGATGTGTGTTTGTGTATGTCAGTGAGTTAATCACTGTGGCTGCTTGTACGCACACGCACTGCTCTCCTGTGTGTGACAGTCGGCCTGTATTTGGGCCATGAGCTACAAAGTCAGAGCTTTAAATCAAACACTTCTTGCTAACTTTGACTGATTCGACGGTACGTTTTTACATAGGGTGAAGGTAAAGAGTGACTTTGAGACAAAGAGAGAAGGGTGGGGGTATGGG